TTTTTTTCTCAGAATTGCGTGATATAAACTCACAATTGTGAGCTATAAAGTCAGAATTGCGAGATATAAAGTCAGAATTCTGACTTTTTTTTCTCAGAATTGCGTGATATAAACTCACAATTGCGAGCTATAAAGTCAGAATTGCGAGATACAAACTCGCAATTGCGAGAAAAAAGTCAGAATTGTGAGTTTATATCTCGCAGTTCTCGCAATTCTGAGAAAAAAAGTCAGAATTGTGAGATAAAAAGTCGCAATTACCTCTTTTATTTTTTATTCAGTGGCGGAAACGGGCTTCCATACAATTCTGTTACCATTTTAAATGTAATTTTAAACAATTATTTATTACATTTAATAAAATCAATATCTACAACATCCTTTCAAAGTGTACAACGTGCTTTTGGGAACTTGACTATTAGCTAGCAAATGCATTTGAAATAGTCAAACCTGTTACTGTCAGTGTCAGCCCTGTTTTTTTTTAGAGCTTATTGATTATGTATTGGTTATTGGTTACTGTACAAACTGTATGTGCTATTGCCCTACACCTAAACCTACCCCTCACAGGAAACTTTGTGCTATTTCAGATTTTCAATACACTCCATTCTGTGTGATTTATATGCGTTTTGAAAAGTGGGGACATGGGGTAATGTCCTGAAAAGTCACCTTCTCCTTGTAATACCTATGTCATACCCTTGTCATTATACAAATTTATGTCCTCATTTGTCACAAAAACGCACACACACGCACACACATTCATTTATTAAAAAAAAAAACTCCCCAGAAAAAAGGGCACTTTCTCTCGAGGAAGAAAAAGGGCAGGCGCTCAAGCCCCCTTTGATAATATGTGTGCACGTGCCTGAAAAGGATAGACAAAAATACCAAAACACGAGGTAGAAAATAGTCGTAAAATGATAAATTACATAGCCTGAGATGGCACAATGTTCAATTTCAATTTCTTGCTATTTTAAGGTGTCTTCATTTCATGGATATTTAAAAATGGTTCATTAAACTTATTTTATTTATTAATTTTTTTCATGTTATAGTACATTATTTCAAACAACTAAATTCATGAATCCTAAATCCGAAACGTTAATCCATTTCCCCCCTTATTGTTTGTTTTAATAAGGGAAAAAGTACTCCCTTTGCCTGACCGTGGTTGTTACCATGCATCACTGGGATGGAGAGCAGGATGTAGATGACAGCTATGTTTGTGCATTTTTCATATTTCATATGGTTGTTCCACTGTTCTGCTTTCAGAATGAATGATCAGAAACAATTGTTCACAATTTGTTATGTTGTTCATGTGTACTTGTATATAAATATACAAGTAACTGCAGTAACAATTAGTTTTCTTCAGGAGTTTTTCACTGTAACATGCACATACAATAACTACTGTAATATTGAGAAAATTTGTATATGCTACATACATGTGTGTGTGTGTGTGTGTGTATATATATATAGACTGAAATTTTATATTCACGTTTTAAGCACAATCGCTCTGTAACAACTGTATACAGTGCCTTGCGAATGTATTCATACCCCTTCATTTTTTTCACATTTTGTTTTGTTGCTGCCTTATGTTAAACTGCTTTAAATTCATTTTTTCCCCACAACAATCTACACTCCATACACCATAATTGTTAAGCAAAAAAACAGGTTTTAAACATCTTTGCAAATTTATTAAAAATAAAAACTAAAATGATTCCATTGAATTCCATTTTATCTGGGACAGTTGAAATTTAGCTCAGGAGCATTCATTTTGCTTGTAGATGTCACTACACTTCGAGTGAAGTTAACCTGTGGCAAATTCAATTGAATGGGTATAATTTGGAAAGGCACACACGTCTTAATAAAATGTCTAACAGCTGATTATGCATATGAGAGCAAAAATCAAGCACTGAGGTCAAAAGAACTGAATGTAGAGCTCAGAAACAGGTTTGCGTCAAGCCACACATCTGTGGAAGAGTTCAGA